AAAAAAAAAAACATGTCTACCCTTAAATTACAAATCAAATTAAAACTTTAAATTTGTTTGCAATTACAATTACTTCTATAAAATAAATGCTTTTCCATTACTTTTCGAAAATAAATTCACCAAACTTTTGATTTTTATATAAATCGAAATTCTTATTTGAAGAAGAGAAAGAATTAGCAAAAGCACTTTTCATCTTCAGTCACTTCAGAATCTCAATTATGTCGACTCTATCTCACTCAAGGAGTAAGAGCTACCTAAAGGCGCCTAAACACAAAATAAGTAGAATACTTCTTAAGGTGTCATCTAGAGATGTCAAAAGACTCAAAACGGGTCTAGGCCCGTGGGTTAGCCCGCCCTGCCCCGCCCGCCCCGCCAAAAGAGTGGGTTGGGCTGGGATATTAGAAGTCCGTTGGGGAGCGGACCTAAACGAGCCAGTCCGCGCGGGCCGCGGGCTGGCCCGCCTTAACAAAAAAATATTTATAAATTAAATGTATGTAAATTGTAACTATGAATCTATGATGTATAATGTATCAACGTTAATGTTAATGTATTTTTTTCCATTTAAGTCACAATTTAATTTTTTTAAAAAAAGGATAACTAAATAAATATCAAAAGTACAAAATAAATGGAACAAATAAATAAAAAATAGCAACAAAAAAAGAAACGGGACTTATTTTTATGTGAACTCAGACTTAAAGCAGTAAAACTAAAGGCAGAAAATTAATTTAATGAAACAAAAATTAATTTTTAAGTTTTTTTTTTCTTGTAAATGGGCGGGCCAGCCCGCCGAGCCCGCAGCCCATGGCGGGGGTAGGCCGGGCTGGCCATTTTGCAGCCCGCCAGGATGGCGGGCCACCCCGCCCGGCCCCGCCAAATTGCGGGTTTTGGCGGGCTGCGGACTAGCCTGCCTAGGGGTGGGATTTTATACCCGAGAACCGGAGAACCGACCAGGACCGAACCGGAAATAACCGCTTCAGTCCGGTTATTTAAAAAAAAAACTATTTTTTCGGTTCATTATTTTTTGCGTGTTTTTGGTTCCGGTTCCCGGTTCCTTTCCATGAGTATTGGTATTAACCGAGGAACCGGTTATATATGTAAAAATATTCATGTTTTATATGTTTATATGTATAAATCGGTTCTGGTTCTTGTACTTAATATTCGGTTCTTCATTTTTGCATCGGTTCTCGGTTTTTCATGATATTTTTAGTCCGTGAGTTGCAATTTTTTGACCGGTTCTTAACTCAAAACCGGTTAATAACCGAAAAAACCAAACCGTTATAAACCGGTTTGGTTCTCTTTCGGTTCCTGCAATTTTTTAGGTGCTAACCGAACTGGTTTTTTTTGGTTCGGTTCCGATTTCGGTTCTTGAAAAAGAAAATAAGAACCGGACCGGTCCCAGGCCTAAGCCTGCTCCGCCAGCCCGTTTTGACATCTCTAGTGCCATCCAACTAGTTATACCCTTTAATTAAAAAGTTTAGTTAGTCAATTTTCTCTATAATTTTTAATAAAGAAGTAAGAA